ATAAAATAAATATGTAATTAAATTTATTTTAAATATATATAATTGAGTTTATATATTTTTATTATTTTAAATTTATATATTTGAAATACCTTTCTCATGACTTCATATATTTTAAATTTAGACTTATATTTTAATTTTTTTAATGAACAAATTAAATATTAAACTTATCATTATTATATTAATCTAAATAATAATTTTAAAAATATACATTTAAAATTATATATTTTAAATATATTCCTTCAATACAAATGCAAGCATCTAAACATGTCCTCAATAAGTTTCACATAGGGGATGAGCTAGTGGAAGTAACGGACACGTGAGTCACATGACTTTCCTGTTAAATTTTGGATTTTCTATGTATTTTGAAAATTGCGGGGTATTGATAAAAAGTATAAATATTAGAGAATATTGACTATAAAAATAAATAATATATAGAATATAAATAAGAATGTGAATCTTTAATTAATTTATTTATTTAAATGAGGAGAAGGGAGTAGAGGTCCTCTCCAATTTATTTCTGTCAATTAAAACATAGAATAAGGGAGTAAACATTTTTTTTAGTGGTCAAGGTGCCTCAAACTAATTTTTATATATTTTGAATTTAATTTCTCTCTTATTCAATTAAAAACAACTTATGCACATTTGAATTTTTTTTATTTATTGTTAAAATATTTTAAAATCAAATTTTTTTATTAACCTCCTAGTATTTAGTAATCACATTGAATCTCCACTAATTCAGAATCGAACTACGTTTAATCCCATTAGAGGAGAAACTCTTCCGGCATCTGTTTCTCAATTCATAAGAGTCAAACTCGAAACCTTATTTAAGAGAAATCGAGTTCTTTCCACTTAAATCAACATATTATTGATTTTAAAATCAATTTATATATATATATATTAAAACTAATTTCTCTCTAAACCATGTTAAGATGCACTCCTAGCTGGGTACATTTAAACCGATGTTAATTTTCTTGATGCTGGCTCCAAGAGGCAGAACAAGGATTTTGCTTAGGCTGGGGTCTTGAATTATGTTATTAACAAGTCTATTAATGAAAATGTAACAATACTAATTTTAAATAAAAAAGATAAATTAATATTAATTAGAATAACTATAACAGTAATATATCAATTAAATAAAGACTAAACATACAGTTTCCTAATAAGGGGATAACCATCATTCTGGGAAGTATCTTTTCAAGTCTGTTTTTACAAAATATAAATAAATAGATTTAATTTAACTATTTGAAATATTATTAAATAATATTTGCTAAAATAATTTTAATTTTCCAAATAAAACTAGTTAGACCAGGAATATACCATTAACAAGAACCTTGAAAGTCAAAATTTAACCATTTTAGTGAAAGTTTGATAACTAACCTGTTTGATTTGCCACTAACAATATTATTATTTTAACTCTTTGGTTTTTTTGATGAGTACATCAAATGATAATTTATATAATTAAAGATAATCATTTCATTTCTTTACTTTAATCTCTCTTCACTCATCTTAACATTTGAATTTAAGATATTTAATTTAAAATCTCAATTTCATAATTAACTCTCTTGTTTGTTAACTCTCTTGTTAACAAAGAGTCAAACATACATGTAAGGTTGCAATTACAACAATTAAATAAACATGGCTTAATATAAAACATTACAAATAAATTTAAGGTATAATTTTCAAAGTGTGATGGTTTATACATACTACTAAAAAAATTATAAAAGGAAAAAAGCAAATTGTAAACGTGATATCATAAAAAATTAACTACAAAAACAAAGAAAAAATTCATCTCAACATCCCCACCTAGTAAGGAAATAATTAAAGAAGGATAAACTCACAAAAATAATACTATTTTTTAATTGATTTATTTGTTAATTATATTTTATCAAAAAATTATTTTTTCACTTGTTATTAATTAAATTTATTGATTCAAATAAAATATTAAAATTAAAAGAAGTATAATCAAATAAGAAAGTAACAACAAAAACTAGAGAAAGATAAAGAATTAACGAAATAACCTAAAAAAGTGACATGTGATAAAAAACCGAATGGGGAGAAGCGGTAAGGAGAAGGAACCACTTGTTGCTTTGGAAATTGTAAATTTGGGGATATGGGTGTTTTCATGTCAAGTCCTAATCCTTTTGTTTATCTCTTGTTAGTGTAGAAAACGAGGCTGCTAGTTTTCAATCTTTTAATCCATTTTTAATTCTTTGATTTTTCCTTCCTGGTCCATTATGAAATAGATGAAAATCAAGCCCCATCACCTAAATTTTTGTTTTTGCCTTTTCCTTCCACTAGAAAATATCATTTTATATGGTAGGTCCTATATAACATGAGTTTAGTTATTTTGTAAATATTTTA